ACACGACCACAAACGCAGCATTAACGCATTCTCTAGACATGCACACGCCAAAAACTTCAGAGGCCCATAACTTGCTCCACAATAACGCGTCGCAGCTAATGCGTGCACATTTGATACTAACCTTCCGAGCCCCGCGTCCGGGTATATACCACGTATTAAACGGCCATTTCGATTCGGCGAACTTCCCTTGTTAGAAGCACATGAAATCTGATTGCGAGTACCTGGATGACCAATCAGCGTCCTCAATTACGGTACTGGACTGAGGTTTGAACTTAAATTTTTTCGACCATGAGTAATTCCATTAGCTGACCAGCAACCACATAAGCAATCCAGTTTCCAAATCTGCCTGGATACTGCTTTCAGGTGACAAGACAGCAAATTCTCTACGACTGTGGCAGTTAGGATATCTCTGCAAACAGTCTACGACTGCTTTAGCTGCCTTTCACCAGATCTGGTCTTCTTATTGCTGCATTCCTCCTCTAGATGTCATTGTCAGTTTACAATATCCTCAATCAAATTTGTTTGTCTTCTTCTGAACTGTCATATTAAAGCTGCCTCCATTTCCAGTTTGCTTGCTTGCATATCCTGTTCGATACTCTGATAATTTATTTCTGCACCTAGAACTCGATAGTGGTTAATACGAGAATGAAAATTAAGAACTTACCATAACATCTACTTTTTCTTCGCAAAGTAGTTAGAAGTAGCCCGCAAATCGGTGTCTCTTTCGCAACTTTGCAAAGAATTAAGAGCGGAAGTGCAACCCCACGCAAATTTTCGTCGTTGCGCCAAAAAAAGTTGAAAGATGAAGATGAAAAAAGACAGGGCTCAATGTACAATCTAGCCCAGCGCCTAGATGTCTAATGTTTGTTTTGGAATCTAGTATTTGATTTCACATCTTGACGTGAGCTTCGCACAATTTGCTCGAAAAAAACATTTTCTTATGTTAGGTTAGCGCTTGATTAGAGCACTTTGAGCCGCGTTGCTACATTATTACATTGAAAATAATGCCCTTGCTAATGTGCGCACTTGCCCATCTTCCAGAATGGGATCGGCAGTATAGCCGTATTTTATTTTTAGCATTTTCTTGGGTTTTCTTGTTATTTATTAATTTTATACATCGCAAAAGCGTGCTTTGCTTTATATATGGAAATACCAAGCAAAATGTCAGATGCAGAAAGACTGAACTCAACAAATACTTAAAGCCATTAGAGCTCCCGAACAATGCTCTTAAACAACAGTTACTCAGGTTCATTATCATATTATAAATTTTTATCTGGAAAGTCGGCGCCCTCGCAACGAATCCCAAAAGTTGTGCAATTGCACATCAGCAAGAAATCTCTGGATACTATGATATAACGAACCGGGAGCCGGTCAGCTTCCGTTCAAGCCTGCCATATTTTTAGATACCTATTTGTAACGTTTATTTTATAACGCTCCAAACGTTTTAGAGAAAAAAAAGACCAAATAGATACATAGACCAGCTCATTCAAAAGGTAATTTGCGAAATGTTTTGAAGATAAATTTTTCTTAACAATCGGCCTACATTTTCATTATTTTTACACCGCCATTTTACAGTATATATGCTGCTGGCCTTCATTCGCCTGCCATTCGGACTTTCAAATTTTATTTTACTTAATTTGCTATTAGGTGCGACAAAGACAAGGAAAAAATGATTAAAATCAAAACAAAAAAGTACTAGTACTTTTTTGTAAAGTAAAGTATCTAGTACATCTGGCATGGCGCTGGCTTTTACCCAAACCTGCTGTTTGTTAACTTATTTATTTGTTTTACACCCTAACTCTCCTGAGTTTGCTAGAGAAAAAAGAACAAAAGAGAAGAACAATCAAACAAAAATATCTTGCGTTATGAAAGTGGAATTGATCACCAATTATTATTCTTCCATCTTTGGCAAATTCCTGAGATATAATATTATTCTTCCATCTTTGGCAAATTCCTAAGATATATGTGACGTGTTGTAGATGTCTCAACGACCGTTAACGCATTACGTCAACGTAAACGACTATTTGCGCTCATAACTCTATCGAAGTGCTATTTCTCGTGAAATATACGTATATGGTGTCGTCGTCGGGGTTTACGATGAAAGTCTTCCGTATAACATATGTGATGATGATGGGGGGTAGGAGTTTCGGGGGGCAATACCGAAAACCTGTTCCGCGGCCGCTCTCATCGATTCTAAGCGCTAATTTACGGCATTCCATACGTTGAGAGTCGCACAATCAAGAAGCTCAACGACACTTACACACACATACATGGCATCGCTGTGCCCTTTGATGTGTGTCGCTTTCGTCAACACGTTTTCGGGAAATTCTTGCCCCCTACTACCCAAGCACAGCGGGGGCCCTCATACCTAGCACTTCGCGGAATACCTTACCCTTCGAAAAACTGAAGGATTCTCCACCAATGTATAGACATCCCTTCCATATCTGCAAACAATCGTATATCCTTCCTTGTTTGCGGGATTTCCGTGAAAATCGCCGTGCGATGATGCGCCAACGAATCGCCGACACCCGACGATGCGATTCATTTCAACGCTACGATACCGCAACCGTCAGTGGCGGCGGTGCCGAGATCAAGATAGCGACGCGATTTTCATTCGTTTCGCGGTTATGCGTGGCCTTACACGTTTCCTAATATTTCTTTATTGTCTCCCTTATTTCACAGAGTTTTCCGTTTCAGATTTTTGAAATATCTGCTCCCTAGAAAATTTCCCGTTTCAAGACCTCTGAATTACCCTGCGCAACGAAATTCCCGTTTCAAAAATACTGAAAAATTTTTCTAGAATTTTCCAAGACTTCTGAAATATTTGTTTAGTATTTCCCGTTTCAAGACATCTAAAATACCTTATGCCACAGCATTTTCTGTTTCAAGAATTCCGAAAAAATTCCCTAAAATTTTCCCGTTTCAAAACTTCTGACATTTGTGTCCTAGAATTTCCCATTTCAAGACAGACCTTTGAAATACTCTATGCCATAAATTTCCCGTTCTAAGAATTATGAAATGATTTAGAGTTTCTTCCAAGACTTTTGGAACATTTGCGTTCCAAATTTTTCCGTTTCAAGAGCTCAGAATGCCACCCTATGCCACAAATTTCCCGTTTCAAAAATTCTTAAATATTTTCTCAGAATTTCTTTCGAGATTCCTAAATCATTTGCGCTTTAGATTTTCCCGTTTCAAGACCTCTGAAAATACCCTACACCACGAATTTTCCGTTTCAGACAGTCTCAGATATTTCTCTAGAATTTCCCCTTTGAAAATTTCTAAAATTGTGCCGTAAATTTTCCCGGTTGAGGACCTCTTAGGTACCTATCTCAAAAATTTCACGGTCCCATATAAAACCTTCAAGATTTTTTGATAAGACTTATGAAATATCTATGTCTAGTTCTGCTCCAGGTCTCAGTAGCTTTCTTTTTCCATGCCATGGCAATTTCTGTCCTAGATTGTCTCATTTTTTCCACTCGCAAGTTTTTGTTCCAGTTTTTGCTTGTTCACCGACAAGAGCCGTGAGAAATTTCCCACATGTAGTTATTGACGATGATAGCGATTATATCGTGAGTACGAGCGGAATTAGAAAAATTAAAGAGAACAAGTTCTACTCGAAAAGTGTAAAAGTTTTGAACCCGACAGATCCCAAGAATTTGTTCACCAAACCGTGACCAATTTTTTCGAATTTGCCACACCATTTGGTCCACTTCCTTCTTGTTGATATGATTTTTGCCCCTTCCACCCTTGTTTGTCACTAGTGAGGCCAAAGTAGTGACCAGCTACTAAAGATCGAAAACAGACAAACAACCCGTGCAGAAATTAACACTAATTGACAACAAAAACAGAAAAACGGTCATCTACCTCGGTTCTAAAAATATTTCAGGCAAGTTATTACAATACTTTAGCCGCTGAAGCACTTTAATCATAGTGTTAGAAAATAGATAATGTAGGCATTTACTTTATTTATATTTACGATACTATTACAGTAACCTTATCGTATTTTAAGATGCCCAGATATCTCAAGAGGCATAATTTCGATAAATTTCAAAAAAATCGTTTATCTGAAAATATCATTGAGTAAATTTACGAACACTAGATCTATTGAAGCAAATGAAGGGATGAACAACCTCTTCGTCGTTTTTCTGTCACCCGAAAAAAGATAAATGACCCTTGCATTAGAAATGAGGTTGCGAACCCTTTGTGTTTCGAGATTTGTTTGCAACATCTGGCGCTTACGCTATACTCCTTTCTACTCCCAAAGACCCATCAAAACAAAAGTAATGAAAGATCTTGGATAAGCCCATTCTGAAGAGTTATAAACAGCCTATAAACTTGAGCGTTGATGTTTGAGTGAAGTGTGAGAGCGCGCGAGTTGACGGGGGGATCTTCCGGGGGGAGAAGAGATATGCGGGCCCTGGCCGCTCACACCTCCTATTGTGCGCTCTATCCCCCTACTATTCCCACCGGGCCCCATTCTCCCTTTCAACTCGAGAAACTCTACACCCATCTTAGCCGCGCAGCAGACATTATGTGCAACTGAATCGGCATTACGTTAAGCATCGCTTTCGGGCCTTTTCTTTCTTGCAACAATTTGATTACATTACAGTATCCTTACCGTACCATATAGTAGAATTTTGTTTAATTTCAACACGACTACAAGACTTGATTTTCATTAAAATGCCTACTATTTTGGGTCGGACCCAAACGGGAGTCCTCATTTGTCCTTGATCTAGATATAACATCCACTGCTTTTGTCAGCATTTCTGCGTTACTGTAGGTGTACTGTAGGTGGAATTATGCGTGATTTTATTCAAAAATGTTGACTAGTCCGTGAAAGATCATGGTCGTCATGTGTTAGGGAATATCGACACTACAGGAGCCTCACTCTTGTCGGTTTTCTTCTTTCTTGGCGGCATTTTGTCACATTACAGTATCTCTACCGTACTCCTACCGTACTTTATGGTAAAACATTGATTTTTTAAGTGTTTCTTATTTTCAGATGTCAGCACTGATTGCGTCGAAGTGCTAAAACTGTGCTATACTGCTCAGATTCCGAAAAGAGACGACGACGACGATTTCTACGCGAGATTCGCATGCTGTTCGCCTCCTCTGCCAACTCTGCGTCTCCACAACTCATCGGCATCAAATACTGTAATGAGCTGAACATTATTTCTATATGCGTTTGACTGTGCTCGCTTTACTGCCCATGATCGCAATGCTTATTCACTGTTCACCGCTAAACGACGTGCCATCTGGAAGCAGCAGCAGCGGTTCGGTTTCCTTCTTTTCTTCCCGATCTTTTCCCTTTGACGACGATGGTTCCCGCTGTTCGTCACAGCTGCTGTCCCAACTTACAAAGTCAATCAATCATTTACAATTCTGATATCTTTTTTCTCGTTTTTCCCATTGCACTCACACAGACGATCCCATCGATTTTGCTAAGGAAGTTTTGGAAGTTTCGATCATTTTGCGCGCTTATTGCAGCGTGCAACCGATTCCTAAAGCGGTGATCTTAATTCATGCTGAAAGATCATTTTTCTCACGGCTGGGATTGTCCCCAAGAAAAAACAACTAATTTTGACGTAAATGCAGAATTAATGAAACTTTAAAGCAATTGAAAGAAGACGTAGACTTCAAGTTCTCTGAATGTTCGAGACTACTAGTGTTTAGTTGTAAACAAATCGATCAAATGTTCTCAACTGTACTTGCCAATTAGTCACCAACACATGATTTATGATTAGAAACTGACCCAATGAAGAAAAGTGAAGGATTAGTTGTCTCGTTTCTCAAGTTCAATTTTTCTTTCTACTGGTTTGGCTGGGGTAGAGGGAAATTTGCCAGGCACTAAAATACGAAAATATTTGGACAGAGATTACCAATAGGGGTTTGGAAGGGAAGCAAAGGCAGCAAGTAAGTTTGGGACTTTCGCAACCCTGAAAATTTTATCCTATTATAGAATGTTTCGGAACCCTGTCTAGCCCTTATGGGACATTTTAAAACCCACCATGTCCCACTCAGTTTGAATACATCAAACCTTGCCCTTTGAAAGATTTAAAGTCTGCGTTTCCATAAATTAGATATTTCCAGAAATCTAGCTTTATGAGAACTTTGGACGTTCAAAAACCCTTTCTAATTTCTTCGGAAGTTTGGCATCATGAAACCTCGCTTGGTCCTCCAGAACTTGGGACATCTCAAAACCTTGGCTAACCTAACTCTGTAGAAACTTGGATATGTTCACCAAGTTCAAGGAAACTATGGACCTTTCGAAACCCTGCTTAACTTCCTCAGAAGTTTGGACATTTTTAAACCTTGCTAACCTCTGTTAGAATTTTGAATGTTTCTAACTTCTCTAGCTCCTGCGGAATCTGGATATTTTGAATTTTGCTTCACTCTGTCGGAGGCTAAGATGTTCCAAAATTCTTAGCTGCGGTAGAACTTTGAAAATTTGAAACTTGTCCAACTTTGTCGGAGCTTTCAAAGCGTTCTCTAGCTGCTGCGGAAATTTGGAAACCTAACAAATCAATTGCCTGACTCTGAAAAATTGGATACATTTTGCTAACTTGTTCCGCCCTCCCCCCCCCATAATTCTTTTGTGAAGTGCACTTTCCTTGCAGATTCTGCTCTTTCGGGCTACGAGCGAGTTCGGCTCCGAGCCCATCGCCGACGGCATCGCCACAAAACGTCTCTGAATCTCGAAGCGGAGGAAATGTTCGGCGATCATTTACACAGAAGTCAACATAGAACCAGGAAGAACAAGGTACGTGCCTAGGAAACTGGTTGATATCAAGTATGGACTGTGGCAGCTTGCAGCCGCTTCAACGACAAACCAGTTGTTTACTGCAAGCAGTACAACATTCGTGAACGTTTATGGTTGTTTTGCAGATAGTAAATGATCAGAAGCTTTGTAGCTGGGAACACGAAATTGGCTCTTTTTGCCAGTAAAAATCAGTCTAGTAAATGAGATAGCTGGTAATAGCGGGGGTCCCAAAAACGGCGTACCCAGAGATTTTTTCACGAAGGTCCCTCCCTGATTTACAACATTGCTGATGAGGGCGCGCAGGAATGGTTTTTAAAAAATTCTTTTCGGATTTTTCAGGATTTTGCAAGTTTGCAGCAATGAATTTTTGAGTCTAAAAATATTTTTTGCGAAGCAAACTTGATTTTTTGATAACTCCTTTTACGAGACCTTTTATACTCATCTTCTCACCAGTCGGTTTGTATAATTGCACTAAATTTTGAACTTGGCTTAGTCGCCAATATAACAAGCTTTTTTCAACGTGAGCTATCTGTTGTCATTTTCTGCTATTTTCAAACCATTGTGGCGATTTTTCGACAGCTGATTGCAGAGTTCAAATTGGTGCCACAAAACGGATGCCAAATTAGGACGACTGCATTTGCTCTTCTTTTTCTTCATAATTTCGAATCATAATAATTACAAGCATAATTATGAACATTTTCTGCACCCACTACACGTGTGCTTCAAGCCCTTCCCAATGAAAAACTGGTTCCATAATTTTTCTACCACCAAAATTGGAAGAAAAGTCAAAGACTGAACTTAAGTCGCATTTCTACCCCTCGTCAAAAAACTTGTCGAAGTAGCATACCAAAACTAATTGACGTTCGTGAACCAGCCTAATCTCTGATTGACAATGTCAAGATGTGACACTAATCATAAGAGCAGTTTTTTTAACATTATTATTCTTCTGGAAAAGTAATGTACTATTTTCGAATCTTCTTTTTATGTTTATGTGGTTTCGTAAATGATTGATGCGTCTTTTGTTGACAAGAAATTGGACCAAAGTATATATTTTCCCACTTCAGTAGTTTTGCTTCCGCATCTTTCAAAGTAAAATTGGTTCAAGACCCCTGGCATACAATTTTGCTAACTAAGGTTTGATAATTTACGAAATATGTGTCAAAATTTTACTACATTTTTCGCAAGTTCAATCATCATCTTTATTTTCCTCTTTCCTGTCCTCTCTCTCGCTTCAAATAATTCTCAAGTATTATACTGGACTGATTTCGTCGGACCATTCTAAATAACCAACCTTACCTGTAACATAATCCGCAGAGAATTACTACGGAAATCTGAGTGGCTGGATTTTCAAGCTGAGAACGGAAGACTTGAACAGGCCGTTGCCCATGTGGCATCTCATATGGTTCATTCCTAGCTTGGGAATTGAACTCTGAAATCTCGCCCAGTACCGTAATCGGGGACGCTGATTGGTCAGCTGCTTAGAAAGAGTACGGTACTGGGCAAGAGTTCAAAGCTGAGTTTTTCGGACATAAAGTACTCTTATGCGTTGCCGTTTGGGCTGTAAGTGAGTTAAGACGGGCTATTCAGTACTCATTTGAAAAACCAGATACTTCAGATTTATTCATGCGCTGACTCTAGGGAGATGGAAGATCTTGAAAAGATTACATTATAAGCTTAGTCTAGCTTTGAACTTCTCTATCCTTACCATCAACTCCTCTTGAATTTTATCGAAATCGTGAAAATAAAACATTTTGATGATACAAGGCCAGATTTTGATGGCATCTCTAATCTTCAGAAGTTAGCAAGTGCCGAGCGGCGCTTTGCGCGTTGTTCGTTGACGGCGATTAGAACGTGATTTATCGCCTACTCCCGTTTGGTTGTAAATCGTTGCGCCACATCACATTCGAAATCACACTTGTGTGTGCATGCGTTGCGCGTTTCAATACAAAACGTTTTGCATAAATGTCAATCGTCGAAGTGACCGCAAAGGTCGCTGAAGATGCGCGAAAAACGTAGACGATGCAAACTGTTGAACTGGAAGAAGTTCGTTGTACGTTTGAGGACAGCCAGGCGAAATCGGACCTGGCTTTCTTATGGGGGAATTGACTGGGAGATTTTATTTGACCCATTGCCCAAGCGGCAGCTTATATGATTCATTCCTGTCCGAGAAATTCAATTTCTAAACTCCAGCCCAGACCGTAGCGTACCTGAGGCGCCTACCGTACTCGAGAACGCTGATTGGCCCGTTTGAAAATCGCCGTCATGTCCTTCTTTTTTACACTCCAATCGGCTTTATTATATATACCTTCTGATGGTGGATATAATTTATCCATTAAGACTCTGATTTTGTTTGAAATAATCTTTTTCATAATTCAATAATAGCATCATGTTTTCGGGTACACTCATTAACACAAAAAACCTAATTAACATCGCAGAGTGCATACTATACTGGAGCTGATCATTCCAGAATTCATAAGTGTTAATCAATTACCGATTTTTCTTCCCTTTCCAGGAGTTGTCTTACTTTTTATTTTTTTCTCTAATTTGTTCTCGCATTAACACAGACGGCATGATGAGATTGAGTGGAATGTCTGAAGAGTGCGTGATTGAAGGTCGTATCGCTGACATTGTGTTCTCATAAAAACACTCAGTCACGCCTACTGTTTTCTCTTAATGCAGCAATTACGTTTACATCAAAGTTCTACAAATGAAGCATGTTAAATTGTGATGAGTAGTGCTAGGGAAGAAGATCGAGCTGTGCAAAGTTGAGAGAGTAAGAATAGCTGGAATGAGACGACGATTTAAATGAAAGGGTGATGATGAACTTCTAATAATGTTAACTTGTGCCTTCCTTTTTATTATGACAGTTCGGGTGCTCAGTCGCATTTTTATCTCAAACATATGGAAGAACTTTAATGACAATTAGATAGAATAAGCAAAGTACAATAAATGGATTTTTGGGGCGGTTAAACGGGCTTTTTCAGCGTTTTTTCAAATGATTTTTCGTATCTTCACTTTTGCGAAGACGTGATACAAGTCTTTAAACACTATCAAATTTCTAGAATTTGAACTTTCAAAAATCGATTATTATCTGTTTAGTCTTTAGGCTATTCAACTGAGGATCATTTTTAGAAGAAAGGGATGTGGCAGTCGAGATTTTCATCTCATTTTGCCTCATAAAAATCATCACTCTATGCTGGATAGACTCGAAGGTATACCAAAATTACTCTCAATGTTTGTGGTATTTTAAATGATACTAACTGTTTGAAATTCAGCCTAAGATTTATTTCTTCCTCCCTAAGATTTTGAGGAAAAGTAGTTGTGATAACAGAACTTGCAAAATTTTCCTATGAATCACGAACTTGTGCATGTTATACTTTTAAGACTTTCGTAATTTCTACTGGGCGAAAATGTTATGTACTACGAAAACAGATACATCTTATGCATGTCACAACTTTTTAGTGTAATGTTTTTGATTCTGTGGGAACCTTGAAATAAATTTCATCAGATTTCATATTTAGTGCAGAATCATCGGGACGTTTTGAAATTTGAAACTCTTTGACTCCTTTATTATTGTTTTTGATAACCAAAAGCAGCTAGATACGTTGTTTGAACATTTTTCGGGGAATTTATATAATTTCTGAGGTATGAAACGTGAATGCGAAAGAGACAAGAAAGAGCCAATGCCAGATGAAAGGGAAGCGGTCAATTTTAGTTGAAGACAGATCCTTGGCTTTTAATTTCTTGCAAAAGGTAGAAAAAGTCCAAAGTGGGCTCAAATAGGGGATTTGCTCTGGGACGTCCTAGTAGTGTAACAACTTCAAGAAAACAGTCGTTTTTTTTATTTATTATATGCAAAATTATACTCGTCCAAATTACATTCGCATCCGTTCTCAAAGGTGAACTAACACTTCGAGAAAGCTTTGATTCGCTCAAAACTATCAATGAATTAACTAAGAGAGGAAGTGTGAATTTGATTTGTTTGGCCATGACCTGCTTATTTACAACTGCTAGTTGTAAACAACCAGTTCCTGTTTACACCATCGATAGTTAAAATACTGTAGTCAACGAATACCGAAGAGCTTTTGTTTTGATCGTAATTTACAGAAGCTCAAATATAAGTAAATAAATGTAAATAAATAGGTGTTACTATATGAATATAGTAACACCTGATCAATGTTCTCATATATCTGGGGCAATTTTTACGAAGTTTTACTCAAGTGGAGACTTTAGTATAAATTTCTACTGCATAAATTGGTGCTCTTTCATCAGCAAATCAAAGTTCTGAAATTTCGCAACAAAGTAACAGCAAATTCCAATTGATCACATTAACACTCTCGAAAAGATTGTTTGCGCCAATGTCGACTATGAACTTTTCTCGAAGAGTGTGGAAATTTCTGAAATGACAGAATTAAATCACAATTGACAGATCGATGGGAAGTATTTAGTTCACGGTGAAAAACAACTGATTGATCCAAAAAATAAGTGCATTTTGCTGAGAAGGCTGGTGAATGTATCCACTGTCAAGCAAGTCAGTTCAATCTTTGATGTGCTTAGATTCCTAAGCTAGATAGGAAAGCTTCAATTTGGTGAAAAACTGAATACACATAATAAAAGCACATAATAGAAAACAGGTACATAATATTTTAGTTCTAACTTGGAGTCTCGGGCAACTATTATTCATAAAAATTGTTTGCAAAATGGGTTGTTAGCTGAATACGATTCCATTTTGATGTGTGATTGAAACTCCATTAAAATTTGAGGACCTTTTACTTTGCTTATTTTTCTTTAAAAGGGCATCAGCAAGTTCTTCTGTTTTCTATATACTGCGGACAATTTTAAGCTGATCAAAAAAGCTAGTGTATATGCCTAGCCTTACAAAAAAAACTTTTCAATCAAATTTCAAAATTTCCTTCTTCGTAATGTGGTGCACGGTTAAGCCAGTCATTGTATACCCTAAGCGAAAAAAATGGAAAATCGTTCGCGCTTTGATTTCCGCACTTTTTCAAGTGGAGCAAAATTTTGCATTCGCGCGTGAATGATTTTTGAGGCTGTGCAAATCTTGTTGACAATCGAATTTGTCAAATGGTTTGAAATATCGAATCTATGAGTAGAAACGAGTTCTTCCTGTAATGCCCAATTCGGTGATAAGCCTCTTTTTAGCTTTGCTGCAAAACCTGACAAATTTGATTATCTCATTTTCTTGCGCAATTTTGGAATAGGAAAGGCTTTTATGAGGACGTTAGCTGATTCGTCTAGCCGTACTCTTTTTGATGACAAGCATAATACTAGAAAAACTTGTTTGCAAACAATTTTTCAGTCCATGAAGCTGAATCGACACTACTAGTCGGTTTTCTCCAAAAAAAAATTTTTTTTACTATCCATCAGTACCCTATGTGACATATAGGCCCCGCTCGCAGATAAATGCATCTAAAGATAAGTCCGATACAGATAAAGCCTCTTCGGACTTACCTGACAAGAGTCAGAGGCAGTTTCGCGCCAGGATCCACGCCTTGCGCCATGAATCCATGCGGAATACGATCGCGGGGTTTAGTTTCGAAAGGAATATCTCAGCCATTAGAGCTGAGCTGCCGGTTGGACAGTGGCTTATTTGGGGCCCCAAAATTACTATACACGTGAGATCCCCGTGTGTCCAGACTTGCCTGGACGCTGCCTTTATTTCGGAATTTTTAAGTAAAACCCCTTATTCTCAGATTTTATGGTTCCTGCTTCGAGCCTTTTCCATCTAAAATAAGCTTTTGAGTTACTGTCTCTGAAACTACGCTTTTTAGCATGCGCTAAGTAGTAAACGAGAGCGAAACGAGGACCTGTGCGCGATGGAACGAAGGACCATTGATCTCAATACGATGGGCGACGAATTTGATCCACCGTTTCTGGTGGAAATACGATGTCAAAACACAGCCGACTATGAAAAAGGCCATACCGACACTCTTCTTGAGCAGGTAAGAAGCGTTTGCATCATTTTCAACAAGGTAATGGATCTAATTAAATTACAAAAAAACGATGATTTTCAGACATGCGTACATAATCTATTACGATGTGTGCAGCGCTATGGAGAGGTTAGCCGAATTTTGTTTAACGTATCTAAATAGAAAATAAATTTCGTTGCACGGTCGCATTTGCCGCATTATTTATGTCATGAACTTGAATATGCTTAAAGCGTGACATTTATAGTTCCAACACACAACCTTTGAGTTTTGTGTACATAGTTACATTGCAAATAATGTATTCGAGTACGTTTTTATAGATAGTCCTTCCTTTGAGCGCATGCGCAGACGATAGTCTTCATAAAGTAAGAAAAGTTTGTCTCGTTGTTCATTGTAACATTATCGCAACTGCTAAGTGATTTATTTTTTATATTTCAAAGATAGCTGAAATGTACCACTGCAAACTCATTGACATTCGAAAGAATCATAAGCACGCTTTCGTTCTCAAATCGGTTTTGTAAATGATGAAATTTGGTGACATGGCTTACGAAATGTGCATGTTAGATGAGGCGTGGAACACTGATTCAAAGTTTTTGGATCGCTATTTGCTAAGTGGCAGTCTGAAAATACGATTATTTTGCCCGAACTCCTGCAGTTTTGAAGCGGCTTAAAGGCAGCGTCCAGGCAAATTTGGGCATATGGGGATCTCACTTGAAGGATAATCTTGGAGTCCTAACTAAAACACTGCCCAAGCGGCAGCTCAGTGAGCTCTTCGTTGAGATATTCGCCTCCAAACTGGACCCCGGGATCGTATTCGCATGGATTCATGTCGCGACGCGCGTGAGTCCTCACGCGGAAATCATGTGTCGCGCTATGAATCCATGCGAATACAGCCCGAGGTCCATTAAGAGGCGATTATCTCAACTGTGAGTTCACTATTTGACCTGCCGCTTGAGCAGTATCTTAGTTAGGGCCCCAAAATCACTTTCCACATCAGGACCTAGTATGTCCAGATTTGCCTGGACGCTGCCTTTAAAGGCAGTGGCAGGGCAAATTCTGACCTAAAAAATTCTTGCTTACCTGGGTTATCCGATTCGCTGATCCCGAAAATCCATTTTGGAAAGCTAAAAAGAACTTACCCAAAGCCTAAACTTCAAATTGGATGAGTGAAATGGCTCCCGCCATTGTTGGAGAGCAAGCGTTGCGGGATCCCTACGGCTATAAATACCCTAATTTCACGCGTACAAGGCGCGGGGTGGTCCTAGCTTTCATCGGCCAGCCCGAACACGGCAAAGGACTTCGCAACCAAAGGAACCCCATACCGTGCTGCGTTTTGCCTGACGAATCGTGCGGCATAAGGATCGCTTCTTAAGACACGTTGGGGCGGCTGAGCAGCTCGATGAAAGCTAGGACCACCCCGCGCCTTGTACGCGTGAAATTAGGGTATTTCTACTCCGCAGTGCGATTTCGAAATTTTCTCACTTTTGGTACCAATACCAAGCCTCAAAGTGTGAGGAAAATCCATAATATCAACAAACTAGGTACCGGACCAGACACTGTCTGGTTAACAGGCTCATAGTCTGCAAAGTTGTAAAGAAAAATTCCATTTAAGAGTCTTTATGAAATCTGTTTTAGCATAAATCGAAAACACTTGATATCTCTTCTTAAGCATCAAAATCTAGGTGCATGTATCAAAGCGTCCTGCTGGAAGCGTTCATTGGAGCCCGCACACCCTGCGGAACGTACCTATTGGCTGTGACTGCATGTGGCCCGTGGATCGGTACGGACATCAGGAGTTGTAGCCCAGAATATATTACAATTTTGCTTCTTTCGTCGCGCTATTCGATTCTGGAGACAGCTGGTTCCGTCTCCACACAAATCGCGTAGTTTTAAAGGATGCCGACTTTAATGCTTTTTTGTGTCGTTTATAATTGTCGAGTCTGTTTTATTTGCTTGTCTTCATTGTTTTGTTAGCTTTGTTGAATTCCTTAATTTGTACAAGAACTTCATGCCATGAATGATGTGACAGTGTTGAGACAAAAACACTAACCAAATCACATTCAACTCACATTGCCTGCATGAGGTATAGTGCGGTCCAAAACCTAAGAAAACCCTCTCATTTTGAGAGTTTTGTGATTTCCTGGAGAAAACTCAAAAAGCTGTGTGCCAAATGAAAGAGAAAGAGCGCAGCCATCAATGGCATACGTAATGAAACTAGGTGTCAATCGCAAAAATGATTTTGCGTCAAGTTTGAATTTTTGGCTGTTCATAATCCTACGAACACTAATAAGTCCTTTATTGGCAATGAGTAACAACACCAATGGAAGTAAACAGCGGGAGAAGAATTAATAGTCCGTCAGATTACCAAAACGGTTTATAACTTAAAAAGTTCTGTTTGACATGCGTTCCACCAATTTACGGATGTCTTCACGCGAAATTTGCCGCCGGTGTCAAAAATTGCTGTTTTCGATTACTCTACGGACCAAAACTGGCGGTTATTTGATAGAGTCGAACCAAGGTACCCACAAGGTTTTCATGATATTCAGATTTGGTGAGCGTGCAGGCCAGCCAAGAAGTCGATATTCTGTTCAGCAAGCCGCCTAAGCATTTTGAAAATTTACTGAAATTCCTTCAAAATAAAATCCTCAACATTTCGGTCTCCTACTAACGTGGTTGATACATTGGAAGTATCCTGACGGAGCTAGGATACTTCTTTTACAAAATTGATTTTATACACATTATAATAGTACCAAATTGTACACTTTTGTGCGCTACTATTTCTATTTCTTTTACGTGACGTTGTAGACTTTCCCAAATTGATCCTTCTGAAGGGTGCCACCAAAACAAGTGAGTCAGTACATATGTTTGTAAATCCACTTAAGTTTTGTTTCCAATCATGGACTACGTCAACGGCCAAAATCCGGCAAGAAGACAGATGTAGTAGTTGCCTCTCTGTTCTTTTTGTTTTTAATTTGCTCTTGAAACCGCTTTGCTAGTTATAGCACTTTGAAGTCGACCTCTTGTGCGTCTCAAGCAACTCAATGATTTGCGCTTGTTTCTTTTTCTAAGTTCAGTCCTTTACAGTACATGTAAAGCTGGGTTCATACTGTTCCGGAGTTCTAGGACGGTTCCAGCACAGCGCTCGAACTGTGCCGGTTTGTGCTGCATGCGCTGCAGCCGTCCGCATGCCTATTGAGCGGCGTTGGAGTTTTTTGAACGTTCCTAACGGTTTTTTCTTCTAGGCTTCTTTCATCTCGCGCCTTATTCGTCTCTTCGTTTTTGCTTTTGCTGAGTATAACTCCGAAAGTAAAGCAGGTTAAAACGAGCGATGTTCTGCTTTGCGTATCCGACATTATGTATGTTATTCATCTCCTTCATCCTCTTCTCGTTTTATTCTTGCACAGAATTATGTTATGTTTTTCCAAGAAACCGCTGCGATAATTTCGCAATCGTTTGTCTTGAACGAGAGCAAAAAATAACGAATATCAAGTGCGGACGATCAGGAATTTCCAACATTGTTGGTGAGTTCCACTTTTGGGCTCCCGGCCCTTTTCTTTTTCCATTTCATTACTTTGTCGTTTTTTACCTAGCTTCCCTTTTTGTGTGTTGAAATTCGAACTTTGAGCGGTGTAGAAGAATGAACGCAGTTGTGCTTCATGTATCCTGCAGTACGCGTTCTCGCGTCCATTCTTTTCATTTGCTTAGGCCTTTTTCATGTGTTTCAGAAAATTGCTGCAATGTTTTCACAGCCGTTTATCTTGGACTAGTGTCTTCCTCTATTGCTGGACTATAGTTGGACTTTATGAAGTTAGGACTCCGAATCAAAGTACTTTCTTTTTCTACAGTCCAAAGCGATCAGGTCTCACTCTCTGCACATTCTGGAATCAAGTTTTGATTATCTTTCTTAGTATTTTTTACCTCTTAACATGAACTATAACTAATTCATCATTTTTAGCTCGGTTCTCACAACAATCGAGCGTTGCAAGGACCTCCAGCTGTGGCTTATCAAGGAAAAAAGCGATTACTTGCTGGTGATGGGTTTGCAAATAGAATTCGAATGTAACAATTTTTTTGGAATTGAGCGCTGTAAGGAGCGCAACTGACGCGGTTTGGGACCGCTCGAACGAAGACGCACCCGTGAGACAACAAGTATACAGTACCTTTGGTTTAAAGTATGAGCTGCTTATGAGCTGACGAGGAGTCTGCAGGTTTTATTGGAGTGGCTTTGAACAATCTTTCAGGGCTATAGCTGACGAAAATATGCATCTCTCTAACATGCTTACAACGGAAGCTAAAACTTATGATTCCGAACGTGGCGTAGTAGCTGTTGATCATATCTAAGATACGGTTTTTCCAGCGAGGACTAGAAGTTATTGGCCGTCAAAAAGAGATTTGTGATCGCACGGGAATAGTAGAAGTTGATAGACGTTTCGAAGAAGCTCTCAAACGTAATGAAGAAGTAGAAGTTGGTGGCCGCGCTGGCATCTGTGATCGCGCTGTAAAAGTGGAATTTGAAAAGCGTCGTGGAGAAGTCAGTACTTGAGAGCGAATGTACAGTGTATAAATATGTTACTGTTGGGCTGCGTTCATAGTGATTCGAAAGTTCGAGAACAGTGTTCCAGAACAGGGCTTAGTTCGAGCGCTTTAATGGAACTGTTCCCAAACTTCCTAATCAGTACGAACGCAGCCTTATTGGTAATTTCTTTTGCCTCAGAAGATATCTTTCCGGAGTTTTCATATCTTGAAAATTCAGTGCTGGTCATCATCAAAATTTTTAAAAATTTTATTGAAGATAAAGGGTTTTTTATTGAATCTTTCAGATGCATGTCGTCCAAGTGTCATTTCCATGTTTTTATTTGGATTACAACAGATGAAAGCATAAACTCAATACTGCTATCGTTTATAGGCAATTGTTTAAAGGCAATAAACATGCACATTGATCAATCGATAGCAAGGCCGTGATTGTCTAATGGTACATGGTAATTCGCTCGCGAGCGAGTTTTGCTGCATTCGGACCCCTTACACGACCTTACACGCGCTGTTCGTAGGAAGGAATAAGGTGGTCCATCCGCATGCGGGTATCGTTATACGCCTTGAAAAAAATCTTCTCTCCTTGGCAAGATACAATGCAAGATCTGCAGAAAACCAATCCGATTTGATACAAATAAGCACGTAATCTGGCAACCAACAGCGCTGTGCTGGAGCTGTTTGGAACTTACGGAACAGTATGAACCCAGCTTAACGTCTGCTATATCCGTAATAATGTTCTCAACAAAGGTCAAACGAGACAATTCGTTTTGCGGCAGAAACAAGCGGTGCATGTAACGTTAAACATGTTATACATGCATATGTTTGAACTCGCAAAGTTTTTCATGTCATGTTCAAACGTGTATTGGGATGCGATGCAAAAAATGCCTTGTTCACAGCGCAGAGGAGATTATATTAACCAACCCTATGTTAAATGTTCAAAATATCCTATGTCATTGGTGAATTTTTATTTCCGGAAATTTATGTGGTGTGTTATAATCGAGTAGGTTAGCTTGTGAATATGGAGGACTTGCGGAGCCAGATTTTGTAGTGAAATTGTCGCGTTTACAAATAGTACCTAGATTGTCGGTATTTTGCACGCCCAAATTATCGGTATTATAGGCATAACTATTTGTTCACTAAACTTTCCGCAAAACTTCGCACCGGAAGGACGATATGCTTATCTCTATCTTTATGTTTACCACGCTGTGCAGCTTGAGGTAAAAACGAGTTGTAGCAAGAATTGCATCTGTGAGTGGACATGTTTGAAGAGTGCCTGTTGGAGTATTATCTGCATAAATCGCACTTTCACATTCTACTATCACGCCTTTCATACTCTACTATCACATGCATTTTCAGAACCACAAATTCCTTTTTATTGATATTCTCTCAAATCAAAGTGTTCGCTTACTTATAAACTAGCTGGTTTACCTGGCTCCACACGGCCCTATCAAAACACTGTGATAAGGGTCTCATCCCTATTTCTGTAAAACCTTTCCCTGCCCATTTCTACATACCAATTCCCTATTCCCGCTGTGTTGGTAACTGGCATGCTCACTCCCCCCCCCCCCCCCGTGTGCCAATCCCCAGCTCCCGTAGCTCAAACTTTGCGAAAAAATCAATAAAATCGATAAAGATAATGGGCAGTTTTAAATACTAATATTGTATTCGTAATCAACATGCTCGATTACCCCATATGCCAACTTTCAGCCCCATAGGCCAAACTTTACAAAAAATTGATAAAATTTGATAAAATCGATATCGACTGATGACGAAAAGTAGCCTATGACAACCACCCAAAGGGATGTGCGCCAAGTTTTGTCCGGATTGATTCAGAGATAAAAATTTCTATTCGGACATACAAACACACACACACGCATACACACAACATTCACCTTTACACAGGGGTCCCAAAAGATGTCCACTCTAAATCGTTGATAACTTTCTTGCTTCATGTCTTTCGCCGAGCTTGAGGTACCAATCTGTAGAGCCGCTATTCATTACGTAGGATTACGGTATGAACTTTGAGCATACAGCTCCAGTGTAAAATGACCTTTTGATGAAAAAAATTCAAAAATCTAGAAACTTTGCGCGCTGATTTCACTGCACAACTTTTTGCCAGTTTTTCACCTTTTCAGTAATGTGAACATACTTCTAACGAACATTGAAAAAACAGTTGCTACTGTAAACCTGAAATAACTTACAAGAGAAGCGTTACAATAAAGTGCAAATTTTACTTTTGAAATCAGCGAATTCAATTAGCTCCCTACAAGAGTTTGTGGCTTATTTGGCTTTCTCTATAAGGAAAAAGGTCATTTTCAACCCTGAAATCCTTTGCGAAGTCCCAATCGTAATTCCACAGTAACGAAGAGCGATCAAGGATTCTTTCCTTGCTGTAAATCTAGGTTGAACCTGTTTCTTTTCATACTGTGAAGCTAAGTTTATGGTCGCTCTACGAAATAGTAATTCAACCTCGGCAAAAGGCATCCAACCAAGAGAGTTATTGCAAACAGTGTTCACACCATTTCGGGACCCCCTGTATATAGGATTTGTTGTTATCTCTGTAGGTCGCTTTAACAGCTTAGTCATTATTAAACCTAATGAGCATTTTCCTCAAAACATTTTACTTCGTAGTTCCGTCGTTTCGGATATTTTTTTTTGCGTTGAATTTTGTCAGGTGTAAGCACTGAAACTATCCCGAAACTCCGCCAACTGTCTCGTTATTCTTTCTCACGGTGAAGATGAACGTCTTTGCTGAGAAGTGTACGTAGTTCTGCTTCGATCTCCGCTGCAGCTCATGAGAAGTTAGACAAGTACGTCAAAAGTACGTACGTTGTCAATTTATTGGAAAATTGGTTCACGGTAATTTCAGAGTACGGTGTCTCATCTCAAGCGCAAATTCGACTATGAAACCGGCAAAAAGTTGTGCAGTGAAATTAGCAAGCAAAATTTCTAGATTTTTGAATTTTTTTTATCAAAAGGTCTATTCTACACTGGAGTTGTATGCTCAAAGTTCATACCGTAATCCTACATAATGAATAGCGGCTCTACAGATTGGTTCCTCAAGCTCGGCGAAAGACAAGAAGCAAGAGAGTTATCAACGATCTAGTGTGGACATCTTTTTGGGACCCCTGTGTAAAGGTGAATGTGTTTGTATGCGTGTGTGTGTCTGTCTGTTATCCGAATAGAATTTTTTATATCTGGATCAATCCGGACCAAAGTTGGCACACATATTCTTTGGGTGGTTGTCATAGGCTACTTTTCGTCAACAGTTGATAAGCGAGACGGTTAAAAGGCCATTACATTCACATGAAGCTGTTATCGCGGCTGTATGCGGAGCAGTGAAAGGAAAGAGTGAGGTAGTCGGAAGCCCAGGTGAAGCGGAAGCCGTCGGGAAGGTAAGTCTCTATATTTATGAAATCATATATATATATTTATGAAATCATATATGGTTAGACTTGTGTTTAAATTTCTGTGTTCTTTTTAATGGCGCACCTTGAGTGCATATAAATAAATAAATAAATAAATAAATTTCGCATAAGCACATGTACCGTTTGATGGTCGGCTTACCCATCTCGGTGCGGGTCGAGGATACTTAGCTTGTCATCTATATGGTATGCAAATTTGCTCTCAGCGTGTTGACGTTGTTCCTCGTCTTAATTTCGAGAGTAAGTTAGTTTGCTAGGTTGAGTTTCAGTTATCATGTTTCTATCATGCCAGGGAATCGTTCTCGCTACTCTACTCCTCCGGCTCCTTTATTGAGCGTTATTATCGCTTTTGAGCTACCAGAAGTGCTTCACCACAAACAATGCACCCGAGACGCTGCTGGCCGATATACCACGATGATGATAAAATTCTACTTTCTCCGCTTATGTATACCGTAGGTGCATCCTCCTAATCACGCTTCTCTTAGCTCCATCCACTGCTTCGTGCAAAGATCAAAAGATCCAAATGGGCCTTTGGTGAATGGACTGTTAACTATTTCTTATCGACGAACTGATAAAATATAGAAATTGGTGATTGCGAATGCCTGCCAACATATTTAGCGCAGTTTTCAGATCGCTGGGCTACCCTTCTAACATCACCCCAACAGGAGAAACCCTTCAGGAATTTAGACAGGTGGCGGGCGGCGTTATGGCTGGCGGTGGAATCGCGTGCAATGAAGTCATATGCATTTATATCATTTTGTAAATATCAATTTTCTACTCACTCATCCATTGTTTTCATATCAAAATGAAGAATTTAATCACTAGTGATAGAAATCTTATGAATTTCAAATCGACACTCGTTAACATTACGTACGGTGGCATAAATGCGTTGAATGTGAGTTCCATAGAGTAAACATCGTCTGTTGAGCAGCAATAAACGTGTGTTCTTATGTACCAGGTAAGGTTTTTTGGATCAACCTCACACGCTGCTCCAAAGATGGATACCTAGCACATCATCGATTATCAAGTTGAAGGGGTGTCAGAGAAAAGAAAGTTCTGTGGGATCGATTAGGAAATTGAGGACCAAATTCAAATCATCGAAGGGCCCAAGTTTGGAAAGACAAACTAAAAATTGTTTTGAATTTGAGAATTCTAACAGGAAAATGAATGTCGAACAAATGAAAAGAGTTGGCAAACGAAAGGAAAAATGTGCGCGATCATTTGACGAAAAAATAATCTGCATTTTTTCTCCGACACGTTAGCCAATGTAGACTTTATCGTCATGACAACGCTAGGCTAGCGGCGTAAACGTTGCCTTGGAAGAAGCACTGTCAATGGATGGCAAAATGACTGACGTTGAAGCAAAGTTTTTCAGCAGTTTCACATACAAAATTTGCGTAAGTGAAACTGGGCTACACGTTAATGAAGAGTTTCGGGCTCCTTTCCTCTTCGAAAGTCCTGCAGGAACTTTGACAGGGTCGCTTACAGTTCGGGAGTTATTGAGGCAGTATCCATTATGAGTCGCTCTGTAGGCTCCACTACGTAACCATATCCTCTTTACAATGCGAGTGAGATCGATTGTGAGATT